ATTGAAATATACTTTACTGATGAAAACAATGCGTAAGAAATAGTATAACAAGGTTTTCAAATAACTTTAGCTGAGAAAGGGAGGGGGGGGAGGTCATGTGGTAGGATAGCATGAACCCTAAATCTATCAAGGATCATCATCAAAATATAATATAATTAATTCAATATTGGACACATTTGAAATAAAGGAATTCGAAAATCATGGACTTCGGGTAAAAATCTTAACGTTGATCTTACTAATTGAAACTGTAGATGAAGGGTGTGAGGAAAGAACTAAGTTCCTCACTATGATAGCTTTACACACCTTAAACTCTCCACAAATCTTGATGAAGAACTCTAACTTGAAGAAGAAGAATCAAGAAACCTTTTCTTGAAATTCTTGGATTCATTTCTTGAATACTCTATGGTCAAGGGTAATGATTTCTATAAATGATTCATGCATAGATGAAAAAAATTGAGTTGAAAAACTTGAAATCTTTGGAGAAGGACTTACCTTGACGAAAAGGAAGAAGAGAAGACGAGATAAAATTACTATTAGGGCTTGAAAGAATAGCCAAAAGTGAGAAAAAAATTGAACTAAAATCAACTTAAATGATTTTCTGTCCGCCCACTGATGTTTGACCAGTGAAACGCCTACCCAAAATTGTTTAATGCCAGTGAAACACATGTTCAAAACAAAAAACCTCTAAAAATTCCTTAACAGTTGTTTCACTGATTCAAAATTGCTCAACGCCGATGAAACGCATGTTTAAGACAAAATGTCTGATAAAACTAAAATGATCATAACTTTTGATTAGGACCTCGGTTTGACGAGAGGTTGGCGACATTGGAAACAAAACTCAAAGACCTTTAATTTGATAGGTAATGGGATACGTTACTCTTCATATTCTATGAGATATGTTTATTTGAAGTTTATTAAAGTAACATTTTTGCACCGAAATACAATCGATAAGAAAACTTTCAACTCAATTTTGTACTAGAAAAATATGAAGGTGTAACGACCCGAACTGCCGTTATTTAGGAGAAACAAAATTTGGAAAAAATTCTAGGCCACAGTCCCGCCATGGCGAACCAGATGTCATTAGGGTGGCAGCGCCACAGTGGGGTAAGCTGGCGCTAGGGTGGGATAGGCGAGGCAGAATGTAAATAACGTGAAATCCTATTTTCTCCTTCTTTTTAAAATACCTAATTTAATCGTAAAACACCTTAGAAACCCCCAAAAAGCTGCTCCAAGCTTGGAAAAGAAAGAGAAGGAGATTTCTAGCGTGAGGACGGCGATATCTTGCGGATTCTTAGTCAAGATCACCGTCATGAGTTCCGAAAACAATATTCGAAGCCAAAGACTTCGTTTAACTACTTGGCGCCCAGGTAGGCTAGGTTTTATGAATTGAGTAGTTATAAATCTGTGTTCACTGTGTAATATATGTAAATCAATGGTAGAATTATGCGTAGGCCCTCTTGAACCGAATGAAATAAGGTTAAATCCTAGGAATAAGCCTTAGATGATGATTTAGGGTTAGGTATGGTTGGATTAATGCTTACCTGATATACGTGGGTGAGTAGTTCGTAGGTGATGATTGTGATTCTATGATTGTGTGATGTATCTTTGTCTTGCTTCATTATGATACATGTATATATGTGAATGTTGCGTTATGGATCACACTTGTTGTAAATAAGGTAGAGGAATGAGGAATGCCATGAATCATGACTTAATTGTATGAAATTGAGAAGATACTTGTGATTGTGATTGTGGTGTGTTGAATGGATCGGTTGTCATGTTCCAGCATAACTAACTTGGATCGGTTGCCACATTCCAACATAATTATTGGATCGATTACCACGTTTCGGCATAATCTTTGGATCGGGTACCATGTTCCGGCATACTAACATTTTGGGTTTGGATTCCATGAGAGGACCAATGATATGATATAAATGTGTACCTTGATAATGTGAATTTGAACATGGTTCGTATTGCTAATTGATGTTGTATTTCTCAGAATTGCGCTATGGTTATGAGGTCTTATGCTTGATTGTTCTTCTTTGTTGAGTAGACTTGGTATTTATATTGATGAAAGGGATACAGAGGTGGGGAGTCAACGTTTCAAGAATTGTTATTGTCCAAGTAAGAGTGTTGTGTGTTGTAATGGCGAGGCGTGGGAGTAATGTGCGTGTTGTAAGTGCTTATGTGGATTTCACGATGGAGAAAGGGGTTGTGATTAGGGGTTTGAAAGCGTGACGTAATGTACTATGTGGCCATGACTAGGTAATATGAAGAGGAAGTAAGGGTTTGACGTGAGCAGGTAGTTGGAATGTTGTAGTTGTCTTTGGGGACTTTCTATGTGTTAAAATGGTTAAGCTATGATCAAGAGCCTAGTAAGTAGGTTGATCGGAAAGGTGGAGGAGCGAGGGTTTTATGGCATGATCTTATTAAGTTACTTTCTTATGTTATGTGGTGGGCATCGGGTTGACCGATGATGACTACCAGTACGTGTGGTTTGTACTGATACTACTTTTGCTATGTCTTTTTGACATAGTCTGGATGCAGGTTGGTGATGTTTCCTTAGGTGAAGATGAAGAATTCTTCAGCAGCTTCTACTTTTCCTTCCGCATGGTGGGAGCTGTGTCTTTTATTATTTATGTCCAGTTTGTACTCTTAGCATGCTCTTGTACCTGTTTAGACTAGATCCTTGAGGGTGTTCATTACTTTGCAAGTCTTAACCAAATTGTGTTAAAGGTTCTTATTTATAAAAATTTTGTTAGTACATTTTACCTCCGTTTATTTAATTTTCCGCATGTTTTAAATTCTTGGGATTTGAGGGTTCTCCTACTTAGGTGGTAGTACGTAGGTGCCTGCACGGCCCGGTGGGTTGGGTCGTGACAGAAGGAATTTGATTTTTAATTTTTTTTCTATAATCTTCATAAATTATCGCGTAATTTATACATTTGTTTTGTAGAGACGTAAGTTTGATGAATTAGATCTATTATTTTAAAAATGATGATTTAATGACACGACATATCAACTAGAATAAAATGAGAATTTTGAGGAATTTAGTATTTTTTTGGGGAAAAAATTTGTAATAATATTATTCACTTTCTATTTATTTTTTTCAAAATAAATATTGTAAGCATGAATTTCAAAGTACACAATTAATTCTATTGTAATAGTTAATTGAGCTTTAATATTATTGATTCATCATACAATTTATTATTAATTGATGCAAGTTAAATTCTTGAGTGAGATCTGTATATCAATATTTTCTTTATATATTTGTTTATAAGTATTCAAAATTGATGACATTATAGTGTGTTTTAAAAACCTATTCTTCATAGGATAAAAAAAATAAATCTTTTTTAATTATGATAAAAGATTCTTAAGTATGAAAATTTCTTCTTAATAAACAAATATTTAAAATAATAATAATAGTAAGATCATTATTTTAATTAAAGAATTTGATGAATTAAATAAGTCTATTATTAAAAAAAAGACTTTAATGTCATGGCATGCCAACTAGGAGAGAGTGAAACTTTTGAAATGTTAAGTATATTTGGAGGGAAATAGTGATAGTTGAGTAATATTTTAATGTTTTACGGCAGTTTCCTAAACTTGGGTGACCATTTAAGGAATTGACTCATTTTTCCTATAAAAAATATCAACTACTCAAGTTGATATACACGCTTAATGTAAATATTTTTTCCAAATTAAATTTCCTCTTTCCCCATTATGAAGTCAAAACAAGGCATTTCAACGTGATTTTTGATTAATAGGCCATCAACTTTTGACATTTGACCAAGTATTCCCTCAATTTATTTTTATTAACTCATTTTACTAAATTAAATATTTATTTTATTTATCTAATTTGAAAAATAAAAAATATTTCTTATTATTTTACATCTATTTAATCTTATTAATTAAATACTATTTATTTTTCAACACTTATAACTTATAATAATTTAAGATAATATAATTAAATTATCATTTTATTTATTAATTTTTTTTATAAAAGAACATTAAAATTAAATATAAATAAGTAAACATGAACTGAGGGATTAATAAATATGTAACTTGAATGAACAATCAATTAAATAATTCCTTGGCGTGACATACGTTATGGGAAAAAAACAAGAAATTTAGTACAATATAACACTAATCATTGTCAGAGATGGTATGTCAGAGTATATTAATTAAACATTTGCGAAAGTTGAATTAAATTAATCAAGTTTAAGCCTAATTCCGCCTTTTAAGAAATAATTATTCGCAGTAGGGCCAACTTTAATTAATTGGCCGACAGATTTCATATATTATAGAAAAAATAAATTCCACTAAAGGGACCCTTGTACCAATCATACCAAGCCACGTGTAAAACATGTAAAATAAGTGGGATTACCAACCTAAATCATCTTATTTTAAATCTTTAATTAGAACGACAATTTTGTTTATTTATTACTGATCAAGTCCATTTTATTTGTCTTATTTTTCTACATGCCCCTTAAGTAAACACTAATTTAAAAGGTAATTCTACTAAATTATTTCTATTTAGTTTTAATAAATTTCAATTTACTAATACTATTTTTTGTTTCACTACACTAATGTCTTGATTTCTAAAATAATAATTATTTTTAATAAGCATGATAATTAAAATAGATTGAAAAAAGTAATTTTTAGAGTTGTGACACCTCCTCTCACATCTAAATTATTTTCTTACACTAAAAACAAACGGGCTCTAAATTATAATTATTTGTTTAGTCAAAGCATATACTACCTTTATTTCAATTTTGTTTGTTCTATATTTACTTAATTATTTTTAAAAAAATAATATTAATATAGATTATTAAATATAATATTATATTTATTTTTTAAAATCTTAATCATGTCATATAGAAAGTTACAAAATTTGTTATTACTATTGTTAGTATAAAAAAATGTTAGTTTATAAAGAGAAAAAAAAACATTAGAAACCTTAGAATTCGTAGTAGTAATTATTTTTAGGTATCCACCGACAGATAAAAAATAAGAAACAGCTACTACATCCCATCTTCCTCTTTCCTCTTGAATCTATCTATGTATAATAACAGTTAGTTAATACCCACAAAATTCGTTTTTTTTTCTATCTTTACCTATAACTTGTTCTTCATCAATCTCCTTCCACCTATTTCTGTGCTGTTAAACTTTGCTGGAACCTTCTTTTAGCTTAAATTTCCTGATTTCTCTCTGCTTCTTCAGTTATGGTCTTGATTTTCTCCATTTCATGACGTGCTAAATCCTCCGCATTTCACTCTTTTTTGTTCTATCATAGTGTATGACTAACCCCTTTCCTTTTCTTGGAAAATCAAGATAAATAGATACATCTATTTTTGAGCTTTTTTAAAGACTTGGGTTTTAGGGTTGTGTTGAAATTAGCAATATTTTCATTGATTCTTGAGGTTTTCTGGGTTTTAAGGTTGTTATAAAGATTGTATCTTTAGAGATTTTTGGTGGTTTATTTATGTTGGTTATAATCTGATGAGGCGCCGTTCTCCTACGTCCCAATCGTTTGATGATTCAATGGAGAAAGGGCAAGGAAAAAATCACCATCCTAGGGTTTGCTTGTTAGCTTCATTGTCAGGTTTGTTTTGGTTTTTACTATTGTATTTTCATTTTGTGATTCTTGGGGGTAATCATGTTCATGATTCACCTAATTTGGATCCACTTTCCCTCAATAAACAATCAATTATCATCACCCCTCAATCAAATCCAAATCCCCTGAATCGTGCTACTATACGTAATGCTAAAGTTGAAATGGATAATAATGAGTTAGTAGTGAAGTCCAAACCACTCGAAAAGAATGTACAACCACCACCGGCGGTGGTTAGGCCGGTGATTAGCGATAATAGCTCTCGGAGAGATCCTGAGAGTTACTCGTTTATGAGAGCATTGAGAACGGTAGAGAATAAAAGTGATCCATGTGGTGGAAGGTATATTTATGTGCATGATCTTCCTCCAAGGTTCAATGAAGATATGCTTAAGGAATGTAGAACTCTTAGTCCTTGGACTAATTTTTGTAAGTTTACTGCTAATGCTGGGCTTGGGCCACAAATGGAGAATGCTGAGGGAGTGTTCTCGAATACTGGATGGTATGCAACTAATCAGTTTGCGGTGGATGTCATTTTTGGCAATCGGATGAAACAGTACGAGTGCCTCACGAATGATTCCTCTCTTGCTGCTGCCATTTTTGTGCCGTTTTATGCAGGGTTTGACATTGCAAGGTATCTTTGGGGTTATAATGTAACTACGAGGGATGCTGCTTCTCTTGATTTGGTTGATTGGCTTCAAAAGAGGCCAGAGTGGAATATCATGGGGGGAAAGGATCATTTTCTTGTGGCTGGTAGGATAACGTGGGACTTCAGAAGATTGTCCGATTCAGATTCGGATTGGGGCAACAAGCTTCTTTTCTTACCTGCTGGGAGAAATATGTCCATGCTTGTGGTTGAATCAAGTCCATGGAATGCAAATGATTTTGGCATCCCATATCCAACATATTTCCATCCAGCAAAGGATGCTGAAGTGTTCACTTGGCAGGACCGGATGAGGAAGCTGGAGAGGAAGTGGCTATTTTGTTTTGCTGGTGGACCACGACCTGGGAACCCTAAATCAATCAGGGGGCAGATCATTGACCAATGCAAGGAGTCTAAAGCGTGCACGTTATTGAAGTGTGGTCAATCGGGGGAGAGCAAATGTCACTCTCCTAGCAGTATCATGAAGATGTTCCAGAGCTCCCTTTTCTGCCTGCAACCTCAAGGTGATTCATATACGAGAAGGTCGGCTTTTGATGCTATGTTGGCTGGTTGTATACCTGTCTTTTTCCACCCTGCTTCTGCCTACACACAGTATACATGGCATCTTCCGAAAAACTACTCAGCCTACTCTGTTTTCATTTCTGAGAATGATGTTCGTAAGAAGAATATAAGCATAGAGGAAATGTTAAATCAAATTCCTCCTGAGAAGGTGAAGGAAATGCGGGAGGCTGTTATAAGTATGATTCCGAGGCTGATTTATGCTGATCCTCGCTCTAAATTGGAGACTCTCAAAGATGCATTTGATGTAGCAGTTGATGCAGTTATAAATAGAGTTACAAGGCTAAGAAAAGACATCATTGAAGATCGTAAATATGATAACTATATTGAGGAGCTCAGCTGGAAATATTCATTGCTGGATGAAGGGCAAACTGAGCTTGCAGCTCACGAATGGGATCCTTTTTTCGAAAAACCAAAAGATCGAAGTGCAGAATCTGATAATTCATCAGCAGAAGCAGCTAAAAACTCTTGGAAAAACGAACAGGGACAACAATAATGATGTGGGTTTTTCCTCGACATACACCACCATCGTCACAGAGCTTAGAATGAGACAACTACTGGTTACACGTGAAAGTTAGCATCCGAGTATAAAAACCTGTTTTGGTGAAATTATAAGAACTTTGTGCAGATGAAGGACATATAGTAATACATAATCCTGCTTCTAATATAAATGCGGTTGTTGTTTTTTCCGATTCTATGTTATTTATTAGTCATTATTAACAATAAAATCCATGCCAATACTTTTGATCGCCAAATGATGTCTACTCAGGGTAGGAACTTCAGTCATTTGATTTTGCTGTTATTTCAGTCATGCCTTCTATTGTTAATTAATTGTTGGGACAGAGTGCCAGGTTAAATAAAGCTTCATTTTGGCTTCCATCCAATCTCGTTGGAGATAAGATATATCGCAAGCAGTGGGAATTACAAACACATTGAGAAGAATTTGCGCGTATAATTTCTTGTAGTTGTTTCTCAGATTTGTTGGATACCTTTGCAGCTGAAGTTCTGTTTTTTTTTTTTTGATAGCTTGCTCTGAAGCAATGGGTATATGATGATGATGCCCATGTAAAAGTTTGTGTATACTAATAAGTATTATTTCTTCTCCTTATACTCTGTTACTTAACTGCATTTCCATATTAAGCAATTCTACTGTTTGTGTTTATTGTGTTGTCAAGGTGTGTGCATTTTCTGCCTGATCAGTTGTTGGTGTTGAGGACAAGCTAGCAACGATTGCTTCTAAAGTTGTTCTGTCTTTCAAGAACAGACCTGCATTGTTTTTTTCTGCAGGCAAATATGTGAATACTGTTCCGGTAACGTGCATAACTTTGATGTTACTCAGTACCTTTGTTAGCATGTATAGGTGGAGTAATCTATGTGTGCGTTTAATTAAAAGTAGCATAAGTTCAAGATTTGTTGTCATAGTATCTTATTAGCACCCAAAGAGTAGTGGCTGTGGGTTTCCTAAGTTGGTTGTAGTAGTAGAGTCCTGGAAGGGACATTGGGCGTGTGGGTCCAAAACTCAGTTGACTCCTCGATGCACAAAAGGTGAGAATAAGTTGCAAATACTATTCAGTTTGTGCCTACCAAAATGACTACGTAAGAAAGTAGACTTTGCCTATTGTTAGTTGTAGTTTATAGGAAACTTAATGGGAACACCCACGCAACAATTAAAAATTAGTATTAGTTTTATAAAATATTACACTTTATTTCTATTTAGTGGGAAAAAAAATAATCCAGCAGGTATGAACACAGTGTACAATGGGGATATACAATTTACATATTTTTGTATTGGCTGCTATGTTTTATATATATCTCTCATGTCACTTAGATTTGTTGTTCTTGAGCTGAGGGTCTCCCGGAAACAGCCTCTCTACCTCCACGAGGTAGTGGCAAGGTCTGCGTACAATTTACCCTCCCCAGACCCCACCTAGTGGGATCTCACTGGGCATGTTGTTGTTGTTGTAGTAGTGTACAACAATGGGTCGTGTAAAAATTTCGTAAATAAATACGAGCAAATCCTAGTTACAATTTTGGTTCGATTTGGAAGAATGCAAATCGAAACCGAACTAAAATGAATGCTGTTTGGTTTTTGTTAATATGCTTGGTCGGTTTATATCGGTTATTTGATACTCTCTCAATCTTTTGAAGAAAAAAAATAAAATATTTAGTAGTGGTCTTTAATTTCATTTAGAAATTTGGTTTGATATTTGTAAATGTGATATCTAACACACATGATTCAAGAAAAGTTAACGCAAAATACATACAAACATACATCTCTTGAGATTGATGGAAAAGGTCTTAATTGTAAATGACAGGAGGAGGAATATGGGCTTGGTTTGAGAATCACTCAAGTATAATGTTTATATTATACCTGATTTGGAATTTCATATCATGATTTTACATTATTCAAATACATAAATTGACTAATTAGTTTATATTTTGGAACAAAACAGCACGGTTTTATATCTACCAACCAATTATTTTCACATGTAAACAAAATTTGTAGTTGATATTTTCACTATTACCAACCTTTAAACCATTTATCACAGATACAACTATTACTCTCACCAACCAAATGTATTATTATTACTTCAAATCAATGCCTAACTTATCTATTATTACCAACCAAATTTATATTAGTGCTTGTAACCTAATTCATATCGAATGACCATTAGTGTTGGTTCGTCTTCTCACTCATCTAATCGAGAAATGCATGCTCAACGTAAGAAGATTGTTTATACTATGTGGAATGATTATACTAAAGTGTAGTACACTTTAACCTATATTGAATTTCACCTTTTTATTGAATTAAAGTTCTTTGTGATAGTGTATTATGCTTTGGTAAAATTGGACAATATGAGATTTTATGCTGATGAACAAAAAATGCAACTTAAAAAACTAAATTACATGTTCAAACAAAACTTAGATTTCATCTGAGGTAGTCGAACGGGCAAGAATATAGAGCCGTCATTCCATTGCAAGGAGCTAAGCGTGGCGTGACTCAATTGAATGCTGCTGCAGAAACTCAGAGCAAGATGGTGAAGTTTGGCGCCTGAGCATAAATGGTCTCTTTCTTGTGTAACAATTCATGAATCTATTAAATGAACAAAAAAGTGAAACTTCAAAGAATGTTTCTTCAAATATTAACACAATATCTCGTGAAAATCTTAGCAAAACCATCAGCTCCTCTCACTTTTAATGATACTCGTGAGGAAGAGCTCATAAATTTCACAAGTTTCTTCTTCAACACCCATATTTCAATTCTCTTCAAATACCCCATTCATTCTTCCAACAAATATGCATTCTTCGAAAAACAAATACACTTCCGATGGGATCGAGTACTCATTTATTCTCCTTTCTATGTCTTTTACTATGTTTTGTTTGCATACAAGCTCAAGATTTGCAAACTTACATAGTTCAGTTACATCCACATGGAGCAACAAGACCCCCTTTTAGCTCTAAACTACAATGGCACCTTTCTTTCCTTGCAAAAGCAGTTTCCTCTGGAGAACAAGACTCGTCTTCTCGTCTTTTGTACTCTTACCATTCTGCGATGGAAGGTTTTGCAGCTCGACTCACTGAAGATGAGGTTGAGTTGTTAAGGGAATCTAATGATGTGTTGTCGATACGTGCTGAGAGGAGGCTTGAAATTCAGACTACTTATTCTTACAAGTTCTTGGGATTAAGTCCAACGAGAGAAGGAGCTTGGTTGAAGTCTGGATTTGGTCGAGGGGCGATCATTGGAGTGTTGGATACTGGAGTTTGGCCAGAAAGTCCAAGTTTTGATGATCATGGGATGCCACCTGCTCCACAGAAGTGGAGGGGTGTCTGCCAAGGAGGACAGGATTTTAATTCTTCTAGTTGTAATCGCAAGCTTATTGGTGCAAGGTTTTTCAGAAAAGGACATCGTGTGGCTTCAATGACATCATCACCAGATGCAGTGGAGGAATATGTGTCGCCACGGGATTCCCATGGCCATGGTACACATACAGCATCCACTGCTGGAGGAGCTGCAGTTCCATTGGCTGGTGTGCTCGGAAATGGAGCAGGGGAGGCTCGAGGGATGGCCCCGGGTGCCCACATTGCAATATATAAAGTATGCTGGTTCAGTGGTTGTTACAGCTCTGATATACTTGCAGCAATGGATGTGGCCATCAGAGATGGAGTAGACATATTGTCACTCTCACTTGGTGGCTTCCCTATTCCACTTTATGATGATACTATTGCCATTGGAAGTTTCCGAGCCATGGAGCATGGAATTTCAGTTATATGTGCTGCAGGGAATAATGGACCAATCCAAAGTTCAGTAGCCAACGGTGCTCCTTGGATTGCCACTATTGGTGCTAGCACACTTGACAGGAGATTTCCAGCGTCAGTTCAGTTAGGCAACGGAAAGTTCCTGTACGGAGAATCCTTGTACCCTGGGAAGAAAGTTCCTAGCTCTCAGAAGAATCTTGAGATCGTTTATGTAAAGGATAAGGACAAGGGAAGTGAATTTTGCTTGAGAGGATCGCTATCAAAAGCACAAGTCCGAGGGAAAATGGTTGTGTGTGATAGGGGAGTCAATGGAAGGGCAGAAAAAGGCCAGGTTGTGAAGGAGGCAGGTGGTGCTGCCATGATCTTAGCAAATACAGCAATAAATATGGAGGAAGATTCCATTGATGTCCATGTCCTCCCAGCAACGTTGATTGGCTTCGATGAATCAATTCAATTACAAAACTACCTGAACTCAACAAAAAGACCAACAGCTCGATTCATATTTGGAGGAACGGTAATAGGAAAGTCTAGAGCACCTGCAGTAGCTCAGTTTTCGTCAAGGGGGCCAAGCTATACTGATCCTTCAATTCTCAAACCTGATTTGATTGCTCCAGGGGTAAACATAATTGCCGCTTGGCCACAAAACTTAGGCCCCAGTGGTCTTCCCGAAGATTCACGAAGAGTAAATTTCACTGTTATGTCAGGGACCTCAATGGCATGTCCTCATGTAAGTGGAATTGCCGCATTGCTCCATTCAGCTCATCCTAAATGGACTCCAGCAGCAATAAGATCCGCATTAATGACCACTGCAGATACAGCTGATCATATGGGAAAACCAATCATGGATGGAGATGCACCAGCTAAACTTTTTGCAGCTGGAGCTGGACACGTGAACCCTGGAAGAGCCATCGATCCTGGATTGATATATGACATCCAGGTTGATGAATATATCACTCATCTTTGCACTATCGGATACAGAAATTCTGAAGTCTTCAGCATTACTCATAGGAATGTCAGCTGCCATGACATTTTACAGAACAACAGGGGTTTCAGCCTAAATTACCCCTCAATTTCAATAACTTTCAGAGCAGGAATGACTAGAAAGATAATCAAGAGGAGAGTAACAAATGTGGGGAACCCTAACTCTATTTACTCAGTTGACATTGAGGCACCTGAGGGAGTCAAAGTGAGAGTGAAGCCACGTCGTCTGATATTTAAACATGTGAACCAAAGCTTAAGCTATAGAGTTTGGTTTATATCACGAAAGAAAATAGAGTCTAAAAGGATGAGCTTTGCAGAGGGGCAATTGACATGGTTCAATGTAGGAAACAAAGCCACGAAAGTTAAAAGTCCTATTTCCGTCACATGGGCATCAATGAAGTGATCACTATCACCACTATCACAAGCACCATATATTTCATTGTCTTAGTTCAAAATTTCCAATTAGGAATTTCACATCACATTATAAATTGATGTTAGAGCAGATACACTTTATCTTTCCACAAAGAAGAAATGATCGATAATCATTGAAATGATTTGTGTTTT